AACAACGCATATTTAACGTTCGGTTACCTAACGGCCGGTTAATGATTTAACCGTCCGTTAGGAGTTAACTGGCGGTTTAGATAACCGAGTGTTGAACAACAGGGCCCTCTTCAACTCTTCGGGGGCGGTGAGGTAGCCTAGTGGTTAAAGCGTTCGCTCGTCACGTCGAAGACCGGGGTTCGATTCCCCACATGGATACAATGTGTGAAGCACATTTCTGGCGTCCCCCGCCGTGATATTGCTGGAATATTGCTAAAAGCGGCGTAAAAAATACTCACTCACACACTTCAGCTCTCCACTGGAAATAAAGGTAATCTTTTGTCTCCTTCGTATTTGTCACTATTGGATGAGTGTAGTTTTACGCCGCTCTGAGCGTGCGGAAAGGGATACAGTTTTCACAGGTCTCCGATGTTTACCACTTTGGTAAGACCCACTGACAAGGGGATTATTGCTGACACACCAAGAAACATCATCGGGACTAAGAGGATTTGAATCAACGACCACGTGTTCACGACCTGCACAATGAATGTAAAGTGAGTGTGAGTGAGTTTAGTTTTACGCCGCACTCAGCAATATTCCAGCCAGAGGTACAGAAGCTTCGTATCTGCGTAAATTACGCAAAATTTATGTGAAAACTCTATTCCTATTAAGTCTGTTAGGTACAGGTTGGGGAGACCGGGGTCAATTGTAACAAGGGCGATTACTCTAAAGGTTTTCGCTCAAGCATAGTGTGTAGGTGAGTAGAGTTATTTCCCTTTACTTTCCTGCGGTACTCATCCAGGCGTTTTTCATCTGCTCGCTTATGGCGAGATACAGTTGACGAAAAATCGTTTTTCACATAGGTAAGTAATTTTTTCACAAAACGTATTAAAGCGTTCTTAATGCAGTAAATGGTGTTTGGGTATGAAATTAACTTTTCAAGTGTAAAATGTAGATAACACGGTGTTACAATTGCCCCCATGTAATTTTCCCTTGTGTTATGATAATAAAACAAATTATGGTGAAGGTTTTATGTTAGTTCTTTACTAGGTTTATCATAGTAGAACATGTTCAGTGTAATGTTGATAGTTTTAGCCTCGGGTGAAAGTTTTTGGTGTTTGTCTTTGTATTATGTTTTGGGCATACCAATACAAAATTATAACCCAAAAACATTTTAAATGTCGATGGTGATAAAGGTTTATTGTTAATCCATTTACACCTCAACTGATCAAGATAACATCTTTCCACATTATGTTTGGATGTGTTTTGGAAAATAAACAAATTGTTACATTTGAACCTTCTTTGTTACAGTTGCCCCGTGCTAGGGGTCAATTGTAATACTTGTACTCATTGCATTTGATACGTAATAACTTTGTAACGACATGATAGTGAACTTGAAACGACACTGAGGTTTAAAGCCAAGAAGCCAATGTACTAGTTAGTACCGATTAACTTTGTGAGCGGTCGTCTGGGATCGAACTACAAGAAGTTAAGTAAAAAATGTTACAATTGACCCCGGTCTCCCCTACGCTTGAATTTTTGTAAATACTCAATAGATTTGATCTTACATGCGTACACACAAAAAAGTCAAATCTTAGCTTGTGTACTGGTTGATAGATAAAATAACTGAGGTATATTGAGAGGTTCTATTTCAGGACATGAACTTGACAATTTGCAGTCCTTCTTATCGTTTCTCATGATATTACAGATCAAATATAAATAACAAACACTAACATTTAAACTTTATTATATTTTTAAAATTAATGGAAAATGGCAAAATACCCAACTGAGTTTGGGTGAGGCGAGTACAATTTATTTGGTTACTCAAAGGAAAATTAGGATACCCAATTGAGATGAACACAAGCGAGTACATAACTCAATGACCCAAAACGTTATCTGTAGCTCTGATTCCAGCTATATGGCAACGGTCTGTGTGATCAATCTAGGGATCAACAACATGAGCATAGATCTACGCAATTGGGTTACGATGACTTTTGTCAACCAAGTCAGTGAGCCTGACCACCCGATCCCGTTAGTCGCCTTTTACGACAAGCATGGGTTACTGAAGAACAATTCCAATCCGGATCTTCATGGGTTCCAAACTATTTTAAGGCACTGGCACACCACTAGGTCTAAGACGTGGAATATTTCGGGCTTTTCTCCAACATTAAGTTGGCAGGCCCTGACATAACTGGAACACTGTTAACAGGAGCGTGAACCTTTCACCTTCCAACACCTCCCCAGATCCAGATCTGGGCCTCCTTTCACAAAGCACTAAGGTATATAGTAACGTTGATACAGTGTTAAGGAATGGGAGTTAAGGTTAACCTTAGCAAAGGCTGCTTCGTGAAAGGAGACCCAGATCAGAACACTTTACCAACGAAGTTCAAGGACTACTTTGCATGTATACGTCACCTGGGCTCAATAAATCATAAACCAAATTCCGATCGTATATGTACAAATCGATCGGATTAAGATCGTCTGCGTAGAAATCGATCTGGCCAAGGTCCCTGTAATGTATTGATTGGTTGAACTTTGTATTGAGGATATTCATGTTATTCACGTGCATGGGCTTGCCGCATGGCTGGGTTAGAGATTACTTTAGGGTCGAGTATAAATATAAGCGAGTGCTATGTGACGTCACTCGGCGGCCATCTTCCAACCTAGCGATGTACCTCTAATGTTTCTATTGGGCGATTAAAGTGTGTGAAACAAGAAGATGTAGTCTCTCGTACAGACCCTGAAGCAAATATATCCAAGAAAGCCCACACAAGTCTAGAAAATGTGGCAGGTCTAGATTTCCTCAGCTTCAGGAAGAAAGTCTCAGGGCTCCTTTTCATTATATTTTATATTTTTTTACTATGAACTTTTTTCAGTAAAATATGTTCATTTCAGAGACTAGTTGTTAGTCTAAAGAAGATGTTGTATGGTGATATGTGATGGTGATACACTACAGTCCCCTAGTGGGACAGATGCCTCTATTCACAGAGACTGTGACTCCATCAATATATGTGTCAAAAGTATTTCCGATATTGTAAAGATACGATTGATGCACCAAACGCCTTAACACAGACGGGAGATTGAGATCATTCATCACATAATGGATGAGGCTACTGATACGATCAACCATTAGAGGCGGGTCCAGGATGGGGAAGAGGATGTATGATATAATACCAGGGATACTCTACAACAAACCTTATATAGTCTCCCTGATAATACCCAACCTTTGAAGGGGCTTGACCGACGATGCAGTTGTCTGAGCGAGTGAGTGAGTGAGTTTAGATTTACGCCGCTTTTAGCAATATTCCAGCAATGTCACGATTGGGGACACCACAAAATGAGCTTCACACATTGTACCCATGTGGGGAATCGAAACCGGGTCTTCGGCGTAACGCTTTAACCATTAGGCTACAGCTTTAGCCACCAGGCTACGCCACTGCCTGCAGTTGTCTGAATATCAAAAAGACTTAGTGTAGTGTGCGAACAAATAATGGATGCAAGGATACAATTTGTTAAATTCTCATCCTCAAAACCACATATTTTAAACAGAAATAAGAAAATATTTTTCAAGATAAGTATGCATTGATTCAAAGTAACATTTACAGATGACAGTCGTATCTGTTTTACAGATATCTGATATTACATAGCAAATACACAATTTGCAACAAGGAAATATAGATTTTCTGTCGAGTAGACTAATTTTCAGAGACCCTGAAGCTGTGGAAATCTGGACTTACCACATTTCTAGACTTGCGTGGGCTTTCTTGTATATATTTGCTTCAGGGTCTGTATGACAGACCATGTCCCGAGCAGGGAGACAGAAAGGTGGTTTACTGTCATCTTAAAAGCTATTCCACTCATTAACCAACGTTGGTTGGCATGTTGTTAACACTGCACTCAGCAATATTCTAGCTATATGGTGGAATAAAGCAAGTGCAATCATATGAGTATGTGATTGCATGAACTCGTTTCAACAGATTATGCTGATTATATAGTTCAAAGCCACCTAGATATAATGCTGCAGTTTAAAATGGATACTGAGTGGATTAAATATGGTCACTTTCTACATGAAGTTGTGACTACTTTTGTGTTACCTTCTTTCCTTTTTCTAGGAGCACTTATACAAAGTGGAAAAAATATTGTCTGTATTCTCTTGTTGTGACATTATGTTTTGTGATATTATGAACAAATGATGATGTCATTTTCAACTTAACCAGCATGAAATTTATGATACAGTTTGCCTTTTCGCAAACTATACTATGAAACAATTTGATCCAACCAGCTCATTGGCATGATGCAAAAGTTATAATGCTCAGTCAGAAATACTAACATCATATTCATATCGGTTTCACTATTGGTAATATCTTCCCACCAATCAATTAACTCCCAAACTACATCAGTGCAACCAAAATAGTTTTATTTCTATAATACAAGTTTACAATAAACCAGAATTGCAAACACATTTTAACATAGTCCTAACAAAGACACAAAGCTATTTTCCTACTGAAATATTAGACTTGTTAATACTGTACAATAAATATTATAAACAAAGATGTCAATCAACAAAATGGTGAAATATCACAGACAATATTTCATTGAGAAAAATGTTCATTTTGTAAATTTGTTGTTTTGTTGTGCATACTCACCACTGCATGCAATTCCAGAGCAATAAAGAGACAATTTTAAACACATACTCATCAACCATGCATATCTGTAGTCCATCTGTCTGTAAAGTTGGGCAATGGCATGTACCGCATTCATCATAATATGGGTCATGGTCCGACCAGTTACCCCAATCAACTCTATTCGACTTTTTGTGAAAATATAAACAGCAGCAAAGAAGGGGAAAATGTAAGTGCCATGTAACACATATTGAAAAGGTTTCAGTTTCAACAACTGAGTTACTTTATTACTGCTTGATCACTGAAAACAGAAATAGCATATTGTGTTGGTTGTAAATAAGTGACCATGCCCTGTCCATTTTCTAAGAGCCAAAGTGCCTCTTACATTCAGTACAGTGACCATGTTCTAATTCCCATGCCATGCTTAATGTATCACTCCACAAACAGATCACTCGATATTGATCAATGCCAGACAAATATGTACTTATATTTCATAGATCATTGTTTGCATTGATTTTTTTTATATTTAGTCTATAAAAGTGAATGTGACCAATATATAATGATCGTTATCAACTCAGATCAATGGACACAATCACCACTATCATGGGGCAGCCATATTGATGGCCTTGTTCTTCTGATATCAGGCCGGACGTCTGTCTGGAACTTGTATAACTTCACATGCAGCATACAACAGCGATGCACTGTTACTTCTTTGAGCGGATGACGAACATAGTTCATCCAATCTAGTCATCATCATTGACTTCGGTTGTCACATGGGAAATAGACGTCTGCTGTCGACTCATTCCTCGATCTGAAACATCACACAATGGCAGTTAATGTAAGTTGTGGTGAAATGGGTTTGAACATTGGGTTCAAGGTTATTGCACGTATATAACGACCTGTATGTAAGCATGACTGCTTGTACTATATTTAATAGTCCAGACTAATGCCAGTTTTATAGTGCTAACCAAATTAGGTACCATGTCACAGGATGTATGCCCACTAAGACACAGCATACTGACTCAGAGCTAACCAGTTCTTGCTTTAGCCCTTCACTGTCCAAAGCCAGTTCAAATGTCTATTGATATTATTCAGCCTGGGACTGAACCACTGACCTGCTGCTCACCTGAGGCAGACATTCTACCAGTTTATTTAGACCACCAAGGCTGTCTCTGTCTAACTCTGTGTACATTAATCATTGTGCGTAACATAACCACTTTCCTGCCTGTGAGTATGTCTGTCAGTTTATTTACATCTTCCCTGGGCAAGAGAGTTAACTGACTCTAAAAGTCCAGCCATGGCCGAAAGTCAATCATTGTGGCACAGTAGCTATTATGAGTTATGTCCCTTCTATCTACCTCAACCTGATGAATCAGATTCAAACTTTCGTTTCACTTGCATTTCCTTCACAGGGTGGAACCAAGTCAAAACAATCTGAATGATTACCAAGATCTATACTGTAATAATACAGGTTTCACATAACTAAGTGCATCAAGTTATCTGTGCAACCCAACATATCTGTCAGCGACCAGTTAATGCATGCTCTGCAAATGTCACAATCAACTGAAATCTCAGAAGTGGCTTTGTTGTTTCTGAATCAGATGTACTAATCGTGCTGATTTTTAATGGACCATGCATAGACTTATTAGCCCAGTCAAATATAACTCCATTATTCCAGTTTAGTAGGGTAAGGGTGGATACAGGACCTATATAATCAGTTAACTCCCTTGCCTAGAGAAGTTTACAAATCAATCTGTTATATCATACAACTCACCTGCAGCTTGGCTCTTGTCTCCACTGGCATCTTCTGACATTCTGCAAGAAATCAAAACAAGAAATCAGAAATGAAATTATTATATTATTTGTTAAGTATACTTCAAAGTTATAACAGTACTTTATATATACAAAGTACATTAAAAAATATCTATTACAGGCAGCCAAATGAGTTTGTCTTGAGTGTACTGCAGTAACAAATGAACATACTCCTTCTGCTGTCCTTCTCCTCCTTCCCCCTCTTCTTCCTCATTCTCAGTACCCAGAGGCATCAGTGTCACTTTGTTGAATCCACTAGAAGCTTCCCCAATGATTCCAATCCTGAAATGTTACCGCACTCAATTCAAACAACCATACTTAAAATACACAGAAAAGCTAAAGAAACGGAACACTTAAAACATATCTAATCATCTTTATCAAAGGAAGTTGTATTTTCAGACGATAGCAATAAAGTGTATATTCTGATGCCTGGCTAATGTCATTTTACAAGGCATATTATTACTGGTATACCAGTATACTGCAAAACACTGTTCAAACAATGTATATTTTATTGGTTCTGGTATAATGGACCAAAACTTATTGAATAAGTTTCACTGTTTAACAGTTCATTTAAATTTACACAGACACACATTCACAAATGATGTTTCCCTTTGAAACTAAAATGGCAAAACAATGGTCTGAAGTGACGTTTCTGTCACATTGTTATCTCCCCTGTATCCATAACTAAATGGCGGGAACTGACCATGCAGACTGACTGACTGAGTTTTGGTTTTACGCTGCTTTTAGCAATATTCCAGCAACATCACGGCGGGGGACACCAGAAATGGGCTTCACACATTGTACCCATGTGGGGATTCGAACCCGGGTCTTCAGCGTGACGAGCCAACGCTTTAACCACTAGGCTACCCCACCACCCCTGACCATGCTGAGTAATACTAACTTTAGTATGTAGAATATAGGATCTCCATGCACAATTAATGCGAGTCATTGTCAAAAAACTTCCCAATACTGAATTACGTATCACTGAACAGATTACTGTATCACAATTGATGGCCATACAATTTTCAACCAATACACAGCCCCACATTTACCACACTTCAATATTCCAAAAGAACCATTGCCAGAAAAACAGTTGCATTTTTATCCATATTGTACAGAATGGAATTCAGAGTAACACTATCAAAATCCTAGCTATGTTTAACTCTAAGTGAGTGCTGCACTGTCAATATATAGATCATCTTCTATAATGACCAACCACTGGCTACTTAATCAATGAGTATCCAACAGATGTGTAGAAGCACCTACTTCAGCTTCATTGAGTTGATGGTAAGAGACTGTATCATTTCTTGCTCTTCCTCCTCATCCTCTTCGTCATGGCCTTGTCGACCTAGTGAGCTGGAAGTATACAGACAAGTGGTTGAGTGGAAGTACTGTTTGTTTGTTGTTTTTTGTTTGATGTCTCACTCTGAAATATTCTAGCTGTATGATGGCATGGTCGTTAAACAACCAAGTCTGGACCAATTCACCCAGTGATTGACATCATGAGCATCCATCCTCAGAATTAGGATGTGTTGACATATAAACAACCAAGTTCCAAGACAGACCATCTGTCCATTTTGTCATGCTGAAATGCATAGGCTGCTTGGGACCTAGTTACAGTGGTTTATTGTGAAAGTAACATTCAAAAACTGACACTTAAATCAACATTACATAACATTAATATTACAGGTAGCAAGTATGTGTATGGTCTTCCTAGATATCCAAGACATCATGTTCCAAACATATCAAATTACACTATGGCTGAAAAGCCTATGAATGGCCAGAACAATTAAAATTTATCATCAAAGGATTTTCTTGGTAAGTATGCCAAATATAATAAATTAACATTAAAACTGTTGTCCTGGTGTTAAAGGATGAGGTATTCTTAAGTAGTCCTTTGCAGCACATTCAACTTTCTTACTTTGGAGAGACAGGCCTTGTTCTCTTGAACAGCCAATGGGCTTCTTCCTTGGGTGACGGTAGTATAGACACAACAGCCGGGGAGCGTTGACTGAAAGGAAAACAGATGACCATCAATACTGTCACTGATATAAATTCTGCAGAAACTGTTTTTACATAACATTTCAATTTTTTTAAAGTAAATCTTGAAAAGTTCTCAAACAGAAAATAGTAAATATCTCAAATACAAGCATTAAATTTGCCTAAGTCTACACCTTAAAGGCAATGAAACATGGACTGTTTTGATTTTCACTGTATTACGGTATGTTACTGATCCATACAACAAAACAAGACACATACTTAATGATTGATTTGATGGCTGGTCTCCTCCTGAAACAGAACCAAACAGATAAGAGATTGTAGTTGTACGATACCTAAGGAATACACAAGCATTGTCACTAAGGTGACTTAATCCCCCGCTGCAAATTATCAAATCAAACTTATAAAGTAATGAAAGTTTAAGTTAAATGTCAACAAAAACATGACCAGTCAACCTCTCTTGATATCTTGCTCTTTGGGTGTTCAAACACACACATATTTTCAAGTCTGATTTTGACCTTGACATGAATGTCATAGTGTATGAAATATGCAAAAATAGTACCGGTACTAAAGAAATTGCTTATTGAAAAACAAAAAGGGAAGTCTTGAAAGTCTATGAATAAAATCCAGTGAACCGTTCTTGAAATATCTTGCTGACAATCCAGGTTAACATGCTGAAATCTTCAAAGTGTCATCGTGACCCTGAAAAGTATGTGAAGGTCGCCAAAATTGACTGGGCCCTGGGCCTTCCCTAGATGAAGCTTGGTGTCAAATATGAAGAAACTACAGGAATGGTTCTTGAGGTATCTCGCTGACAAGCATAACATGCAGGTTAATATGCTGAAATCTTCAAAGTGTCTCTGTGACCTTGACAATTACGTGATGGTCGCCAAAATTGAAAGGGCCCTGCGCCTTCCCTAGATGAAGCTTGGTGTCAAATATGAAGAAACTACAGGAATGGTTCTTGAGGTATCTCGCTGACAAGCATAACATGCAGGTTAATATGCTGAAATCTTCAAAGTGTCTCTGTGACCTTGACAATTACGTGAAGGTCACCAAAATTGAAAGGGCCCTGCGCCTTCCCTAGATAAAGCTTGGTTTCAAATATGAAGAAAATCCAGTAAAGGGTTCTTGAGATAGCTTAACATGCAGGTTTACATGCTGAAATATTCAAAGTGTCGCCATGACCTTGACAATTACGTGAAGGTCACCAAAATTGACAGGGCCCTGCGCCTTCCCCAGATAAAGCTTGGTGTTAAATATGAAGACAATCCAGTCAACGGTTCTTGAGATAGTTTAACATGCAGGTTTACATGCTGAAATATTCAAAGTGTCCCTATGACCTTGAAAATTATGTGAAGGTCACCAAATTTGACTGGGCCCTGCGCCTTCCCTAGATAAAGCTTGGTGTTAAATATGAAGAAAATCCAGCCAACGGTTCTTGAGATAGCTTAACATGCAGGTAAAACGTCCCCTTGTGAGCTTGAAATGAAGGTCAAGGTCACCAAACCTGACTTGGGCCTTTCTTATACTGTGATGAACCTAGGTACCAAATATGAAAAGAATCTAGTTAACAGTTCTTAAGATATTCCAATTCGTATGTATGGACCTACGGACGTACGGAGGCTAATACTATATCCCCGCTTCGCGCTAAACATGCTGCGGGGGATAACAAAGTCAATTTCTTTACAAATGTATTAAATTTATTACCAGTATCGTCTGTACTACGTACACCTTGGGTCATCACAGATTCTCTCATTCATATCATTTTCATGTTACATCCATAACAACTGAAGTTCTTGAAAGGCATTAAGAAGTTGGACAAACATGAATACATGACACGGTTTATGGATAGCAACTTTTTTTATTCTTTATCACAAAGTTCCATAGCTAATTCTTGCTCCTTCACCAGGTGAATCACAAGTGACCTGCTGTCATTCACCTGATGGAGCCAGAATTACCTCTGAAACACTGCGATGAAGAATCCATTATAATTGGTTTCATTGGATAATCAAGACTGGACATTCTCTGGCATTGATGATTTAAATTTACAAGTATAAAGTGAGAACAAGACATCAGGGATTTACAGTGAGTCCTGTATTTGAGGGTCCCTGGGACTCATACTCTTAATTTTCACGGGTCCTGGACAACAAAATGGGGGTCGCAGACACTTAAATATTACTATTAATACTGTATTGCATTGAGTATCATGATCATCACATTGTTACAGTAATTAAATTGCAAATAATACCATAACCCAGCTAGTAGCAAACTCAGTGATAACTTATTTTCACTTGATTGGAATTTTTACAAAAAGTATTTCGACTTTTTCTGAGACCCTGTGGATGCGCAAACAAATTGTCCATTGTCAAGTTTTATGTGTATAGGACGCAGGAAATCGCGTCCTGTAAATCCCTGAAGACATCGAGTAGAGCAGGATGTGACACACTTACGGATGCAGTCGTCGATACTCTGCTGGAGTCAGCTTCTTCTCCTCAATCCTCGCCTGTATCTGGTCTTCCACCTTGATCACCTTCTCTGGCTTCTGTTCCTCTTTTGGTTCTGTTATGTGAGATGTAACACTCAGTGACAAACTACAGAACACATACTTCATACAATTCCCTACATGCAAGTCTCTGATTATGAGATGTTCAACTGTAAAAGCAATGGGCCAAAATGCTGGAAATGATGAAAAAGATCTCTCACAATCCATGACGTGTTTGTGTGATTTGGACTAGTCCATCTTTTTCTTTTCAAGACCTGCATAATTGTTTTAGAGGTTTTCCCAACATTACGTTAATCAGCTTTATGAGACCTGGTGGAAATAATCTAGCCTAGACCAGACAAACGAGTGATTGATATTATGAATGCATAATTTGACCTATAATGGACATAATCGTAAAAACAAACATAGGTTACTAGGGACCTTTATATTTAGCTCACGGTGCCCAAAGTAGCATATTTTGTTTAATTACAGCATGAGCAAACCTTTGACAGATGTGGGCCACAGATTAAAACTGTTCGGCTACATTTGAAAAATAGTTCTTTTTTACCTATTTTATCCATAAATCTGCATTTGGTCATGGAAAAATTTGAAACTTAGACCTAGTATAAAGAAAAAGGCTTACAATAATCATTGATCCTTGCTATAGATTTGAAACCTGCAGTAGGTCAGAAAAGGACATTATATTTAAGCCTTAAATTTAAACCTTTAATTGTTTCCCTTTAACTTCCAAAGAAGTTCAAAGAAATATTCAGCAAACATTCCACTTACCTTCTGGGGCATACTTCACTCTTATAGCTGGATTAAACGTGTCAGATCGCAACATTCTGAAATGACAATTATAGTAGTTCCATTACAAACCATCTGGCATTTTGTGCCATTATTAATAGCTCTTAATATATGGAGCACCATTCAGACAAATAAAGTGATGATAAGTCCAAGTCACTTACATCCAACCGGGGATGTGCCTCAGATGACTGGGCTGTCAAAGTCCTATACCTCCAATCAAAGAAGTTATGAATTAAGTCTAATGTATATAGCTGTTAACAGATTACTGTTCATATCTACAGTTACTGGTGTGACATTGTAACAAATAAAGCAGTACCTTCCAATCTCTTTCTTGACAATGTCAAACTCTTTCCTCCGAAAAGTGATCCAAACAATATATGTACAATATACATAAAATCTCTGAAAAAGATATAAAACAGTGTCATGATATTTTCAACAGTTATTGTAAAACATATTATATGCTTAGAAGATAAATCTACTCTGTTTTCAATTTTGCGGTTCTTTATCGTTGATTTAAGACCGCTAAATGTAATTTAAAAACCGAACGCGTTAGCGTGAGGTTTTAAATTAAACATTTAGCGGATTTTTCAGCTTCGTAGTTTCTTCACTGGGATAAGGGTCAAGAAATTCTTCTTCAAACCATTCGCTTTTTACTTCAAAAATACCAAAGATGCTGCCGAGGTAGAAATTGCCGATGTCCGACATGTTTGTTTACAAACAATAGGGTCAACGAGTTCGTTGTATTCATACGCGGTGAATCGGTCACTTTAATTAGCGGTCTTAAACTGCCATTTAAGTACGGTTTTGATGAGCTCTCAGCCAATCAGAATCGAGTATCACACAATGTCGCGCTAGAATTTTCAATCATGTGCACTCAGTGCAAGACTATTATTGATATAGTGAGGTTTAGAAGTTGATTCTGCTCACCTCAAACATTGACCGATCTTTGTATGTGGAGGAAACTCGAGACCTACAAGGAGAAACATATTTATAGCATTGATACAAACATAAGAGTAAGGGAATGATGTTTTATGCCACAGTTAGCAGTGTTTAGTCAACTAAATAATGGTAGGCATGTAAATACTCTTTTCTGGACCAGACTAACGAGTGATTCATCCACACCATCCAGTAACACTGACATACAAGCAGCCAGACCACACATTGTACATCCTCATCTTTACTCTCAAAATAATTAGTGGCAGTAGGGTAGCCGGTTGTTGAAGCGTTGACTTGTCACACCGAACACCTAGGTTCATTTCCCCACATTGGGGAAACATGTGAATCATATGGGATTGGTAAAACATGTGAAACTGATTTCTAGCGTCCCCTGGTGTGATATTGCGGGAATATTGCAAAAAGTGATTAAAACCCTCCTCACTCAGTCCAGTGATAATTAAGTGATGCTTTTGACCTATTCTTTCTTAGAGACTCCTAAGTCACAGGGCGTCATGGGGTATCACAAGACACATAGACAGTATTTCAGTGTACCTACATATATATACTGAACAACATTAGAAATGCACCACCCATATAAAACAAAATATCCCCGTCAGACTGAAATGTTCCTATGATATCTGAACATAGTCGGTGCACTTTAGTGTGGTGCATTTCTAATGTTGTTCAGTACATATGTATCATTATATCAGCTTGTTCTGGGAGGAATGTCCAGAGTAGTGCAGGTTTTAGAAGTTTAATACTTTCGACAGAACAAACAAGCATGGACATGTTGCCAAAAATGCCCAGAAACCTAATCAGCATGAATCTGGCTTTCACACCTATCATAATGATATTCTGGCACACCTAAGGAACACAACTCTGCAGTAACTGAAGCACCATCCCCTTGAACTGACTTGAAATTGGTATACTTCGACAGCAAATAAATATTCTTTAAGAGCTTCAAATCATATTCTGGCAAAGGACAAGAACAATGCTGTTTCCAGGCCAAATATTAAACACATGTCTTTCTGCTGACATAACCAATCAATCATTTCACATGTGATCTTCAGATGGCAACTACATACAGCAAATGGTTACTACATACTGTCCACATCCCATGTGATGCTGATCCTCCAGGCCGAGCCCCAACACCAGCACACAGTAAGATTGACCCAGTAGACGCTGGGCAACGTCCAGTCTCGCACAAGCATCTGCATAGGCCATCTTCTCAGACAGGCTAGGCTCTCTACAAACATACAAAAATTACTTTCAATAGCATCATTCACGACATCTCCAGGTACAGGTTTATTTGCAAGTAGACATAGAGCAAATTACAATCGTCCTATTTTGAACAAAGTCATTTGCATAGGGAAGCCCACATGTAACACAGGTTTCAGTGGGGCGGTGGGGTAGCCTAGTGGTTAAAGCGTTGGCTCGTCACGCCGAAGGCCCGGGTTCGATTCCCCACATGGGCACAATGTGTTAAGCCCATTTCTGGTGTCCCCCGCCGTGATATTGCTGGAATATTGCTAAAAGCGGCGTAAAACTAAACTCAGTCAGTCAGTCAGGTTTCAGTACAGGGTAGAATCAGCATAGAAACTCTCAGGAGTCAAGCTTGCCAAACTGACAGTCACCCATTCAACTACTCTCCATGATCCGCAACACTGCAAAGTGTCGCCCAATTTATGGTCCCTGAGCTGTTAGTGACAACTTACAGGACACCAAACTCATAGTAGTAGTAGTAGCAGCAGGAGGAGGAGGTGGAGGAGGCACAGCAGCGAGGAAGAGCAGCAGCAATATTTCTAAACGTTTATTGATGAATACTTCCTGCTTATGGTGACTGTGGTAATGGTTGCAGTGGTGTTATTGCTGTTGTTGTAAACTTCAAGGGTAAACAATTGAAGCTGGGTAAAGGAAGGGTTATCTCCCTTCATTCACACTTACAGGGAACTACCAAGTAAATGGGTGATTAGACATGATATTTGTCAGAAATTGTGCATCTAACCCAATACTCACATATACATTGGATTCTTTTTGTTTTCCTGGTTCATTTTCTCAAAGAAACAGTTGAAGTAGCTCAGTAGATACATGAGGAAAGTGTCGAACTGCTTGGTCCTGGAAACAATGACACTTTATCTACTACAACGTAACAAAGCTGAACTAAATTGCATCCAAACATCCTCTGGGAAAATATTTTTTCAATTTACACACTGGATAAAGTAGGACTGGTGAAAGGACTGATTTGCAATTGTTTTCTGTGGCCATCTTTTGCATAAGATCCACTTAACATTTATAACATGGAGAAATTATATTAGATAATATCAGAAATGCAAAGAATGTTTGACTAATTCAGCACACATCCAGCATCATTTATTGATGTTTTCCAATTGAATTATTATTTGTGTTAACAAATATTAAATGAAGTCTGCTTATTCATATCAGTCTTATGAACCAGTATGTATAATTCTTTTTCCATAAAGAATTCCAAACTGTCCTCTATTGAAACATATCAGTGCAATATTATAAAATATAATATCAAATGAAAACACTCTCATCTGTGTTGATGATACTTACATTTACATATATGATATGATAATCTCCTTAGAAATTATTATCTACTTACTATCATATTACAGACTTACATTGTAACCATACTTTCTTGAGTTATCAACAACAGTTCTGGGTCTCTTCCATATAACCTTTGGCTTAACTAATAATGCCAATTTGTTTGATTTTCAAATTTGATATGTGTTTAATGAGGTACTACCTGAATATCAAATAATATGGACTTCTTTTAAATGTGTTGAAGTTTTCTTGGATGAATTTATTTCAAGGTGATTTCCTATTTCAATGCTGATAGTCTGACAATTTTAAATGATTTTGGAAAGTTGTGAAAATACAGATAAAACTGAATGAAAATGACGACCAACATACTGAAAGTATCATCAACATAGATGTAAGTTTCATCAAAGCAGATGGGTCATCCACATAGAAGAAAGTATCATCTATGTAGATGAAAATATCATCACAATCCTCTAACTGAACATAAAACTTGATGTCGCAATTTGCTCATTAAGTAATACACTCCAAATGTTGGTATTACAAACAGAAATATCAATAAATTGCCACCATTTCTAAAGACACAGTTCATCAAAGCTTACCCTCGTAGACTGTCGAATGACTCTGGGATGAGACACTGATCTGCCTCCATCATTCTCTCAAATGCAACAACTGCAAAGAATACAATTTAAATGTGAACTGATCAAAAACAGAAATGGGATGGAAGACAAATGTGAAAAACTTACAACACTTGGTAATCCAGAAACATGAATAGACATTTATCATTTGGTCCAAAAACACATAAAACTGTATTTCAGTTATTCCTCGATTGGCCATGGTTTCTATTTCTCCAGTGAAATATATATATCTCAGTGAATATCAGTGGCGGATGCAGGGGAGGGGTTCAGGGGGTTTGAATCCCCTGAAACCACCCCCACCCCTGAAAATTTCTGGATCCGCCTATGAATATATTTCTCATTTAACATGAATTTCAATTAATTTAATGTAATGTACACCTACAAGTTTGTTTTAACTCCATAAAAGTCTGTACTGTATTGTCTTAAGAACAGAACTTTATTCAGTAGTATTTGGGCCATAAGTCCTACGATACAGTTGACAAATACAACATAAATTACATGTGATCATAAAATTTGAATTTCATACAGATCTTATCTAAATATTTGATTAATAAAGATAGCTGTTAGATGCTGTACAATACTGTTTTGCAACATGGAAATAATGCCTCAATGGTTAGTGGGCCTCTGTACACTGATTGCAGCTTCTGAAGATATAGAGTTCTGGCTTGATTATACTTGTCACAAACAAAAAAATATAGAGGATACTAAACGACCTTCCGTGTAATACCATTTTTATTTAACGAGGTAATGATATGGTATCAAACGAGCGAAAGCGAGTTTGATGCTAAATCTTTCACGAGTTTAATAATAATGGTATTTCACGGAAGCGAGTTTAGTATTCTGTTTATTACTCTCAAACATGAACTGATAGAAACTGCCTACGAAGTGTGATGACTCTCAGCTTTCCACGAGTCAAGCAAGGTCTAATACAATTGTGACAGAGGTATAAGCATTGTGACGTCATAACTGTAAAACATTATGACGTCATATGTCTAGCGGTATTACACTAGTGTAATATTGTCGTAAAAATATTACACTGCAGTATCTTCCATGGGCGAGTAATAAACAAATGTACGTGGTTCTCGTCTTCATTAAGGTTATAATTACACAGATAGTTCACACATAGTGGTTGATCGCAGTGGTATCTTTACTGGTACTTTGGTTGTTTATTTGGAAGTAAGTTAACGATGCTGTTAACTTGAAGTAAACTCGTATTAGTTGTTTGTTCCCGATGTTCATGATGTATGATTCTCTTTCCAGTGAAAACTTGAATGAAGCATAGTGGGTAAGGAAACGTGAGCTGTTTATCCCATAATGCCTGTTTGGGAGTGATTTATCTTTGAGGCACTGTTTTAAACTTCCTAAATTATTTTAAGAACATCTGTTGTAAGGGGGGGTCAGGGACAGTGAGATTAGTGGCGGTAGGGGGTGTCATGACAAAATGTCACAGTGAAGGAGGGGAATCACCCAAATTTATCACAAAAATGGTCCCTGAAAGGGAAGGAGTAGATAAAAATATGATGAAGTACTATTTTTTTAAAATAGGAAAGTTGTCGTTTAACCAAGGAGGAGGGTATGTAAAAATGTTTCGTGTACACGTCTTTTAGGATGCATAATCAAAATGTTACATAATACTGAGGGGACAGCACAAGAATTGATAGCCCTGAGGCCAATCTCATAGTCATACCTACCCCTCCATGATAACTGGCTATGGTGCTGTTGTACAAAGGGATCAACTCCCATAGTAAGATAGACTTATGATCGTCAGTGTTCTAAGAGTTCTTAATAATTTTTAATCAAAAACAAATTAGTACCCAAAAGGATACATACCTATAAAAATATTCAATACACAAAACATGGTCAAACTGAAACTCTGAATAAACCCAGGAAGTGATTATCAACTATGGAAAGAGAAGCACCTTTAACATTCTCAAGGGTGATGTATGGATTTTCTGCTGCGTCTTTTTTTAGATGGGTGTGGCGACTTTGTGGTGTTGGTGCGAGCCTGACCCCTGCCCCGCCCCTGGCCCTGACCTCGAGCCACACTGGATGCCACTCTGTAAAAGACACAATGTCAATTAGCACGTCAGAAAAGAAATAACACACAAGAGCATCAGTATCAGAGCATATACCAGTACTTTTTATGCTATTTATAAAAAAAAAATCTTCATTCTATTAAATGAAATTTGAATATGTTACCATGTATTGATGACTTTGGTGTGTGATAATATCTGCTGTTACACATACCTGTCTCCTCTACCCCTGCCATGCTCTTTTGCTTTTCTTCTTTTGTCCTGTCTGTCTGCATTAGCATTGTTACTGGAAAACAATTGTTACAGGATTTCAGCATGCCATAAGAGCAATGTAAAGACTATTGATTCAGTATTTCAAACATTATGGAATCTCTTGGTAAACCCAGCTTTTACCTTGGTTGTTGCCTTCCATAATGTCCAGTTTTCCCCAAAACTTTGTACATACAGTTTGACAAGTTGACATCTTGGTATAAACTACAATTTCTAAGCATATAAGGCTTTCAATAAGCCTAGACGACAAAATTATGTATAACTCTGCAGTTTATATAAAACAAAGTGAGACTGTGTAATGCATCGGGGATGGTTTAACTCCTAGCCTCTAAAAGACTATGCAATTTTTATAAAGACAAGGAAATTGGAAAGGAGACCCTGTGTGAGAAGGGAGACTGAGAAGCCGACAAAAATCTAGACTTGATTCGTTTAGGGCTATAGCATTCAGTAAGGTAAGGGACAGGAAATATATTATGTTTCAGGGGCTGACTGATTTCTGATTGGTCCATGGTTATGTGAAATCTGAGACTCCACAAAACATTAGCAGGGATTTACAGGACGCGAATTCCTGCGTCCTATACACATACAAATTGACAATAAACGCAACAAAATATATGTGCGCATCCACAGGGACTCAGACCAAATACTTTTTGTAAAAACTTCCAATCAAGTGACAATAAGTTATCACTGAGTTTGCTACTAGCTGGGTTATGGTATTATTTGCAATTTAATTACTGTAACAATGTGATGATCATGATACACAATACAATACAGTATTAATAATAATATTTAAGTGTCTACGACCCCCATTTTGTTGTCCAGGACCCTTGAAAATTAAGAGTATGAGTCCCAGGGACCCTCAAATACAGGACTCACGGTAAATCCCTGCATTAGATGTCACTGGAAATAACATTTTAACTTGATGCCATAAATGGGAGAAAATATGTTGAAAACACAAGGGAAATATCAAGTAAGTAAATAACCAATGGCTCAAAGCGTAGTCAGTTTTTCTTGGATATAACTAGGAACACACTGTTTTGTATGTTACTCATGTGCGTACAAACTTTCATAATATGATATACCTTCTGTTAAGCGTGTCACCTTTCACATTTCAATAGACATTAATATGTACATATATGATACTATATTCAGTGATTAACTTGATATAGATCTTCCATTGACTGTTCACAACTATATTACACCGTGTAGCAGGCTTGAATGAGCTGGTTACGTCGTTTCAACAATTTCCATAAAATCACATCTTTAAAAAAAAAAAAAAAAAAAAAAAAAAAAAGAGGTTCTGGCGAGGTTCGAACTCGCGACCTTCTGCGTGTAAAGCAGACGTGATAACCACTACACCACAGAACCGTCTTGCCAGATCCGGTTATTTCAAGGAATAGGTTTCTCACCTAACGAATTCTAATGATGGTCGTCCTCCATCGCCATCCCGCCATACCCAACGACCGCTTGTGGGTCCTGGTAAAGGTGGCTAAAAAGCAAACACAAAGAAAATATGGACCAATTGTTTTAACTGTTCAGTTATCGATCAGATTCCTTTTCGATTACAAGACTACAAGGTTCACAATCCAACAGTTCCGTTCTATGTTTTATTTCCATTTTAATAACGTAATGAAGGTCTCAGAAACATGATTTGCATAGTTCTATTCTTACCAGTTCCACAATCTCAGCCGCCACCTTTGCCATAGCAATAATTACTGTTCTTCAAGCGAGGAAAGTATTTTCGACGGCGTTCTCCATAGCAACATTACTAAAGGGAGGTAATTTGTATCCAATAGTTACTTCCCTTTAATGGTGTGTTTATGCGTGTAGTTTCAATATCCAAGAACAGTGTTTCGGTCCAAACCAGGCTAACAAAATGAACGTACAGTCATTTGAAATTGCATTTGCAGTGTGTCTTCCTCCTTGTTAACCAATTACTGACATGTGTCCTAAATTGTTGCTACATTGTATAGTCAATATTCAAAATGTCGTTGATACCTTCAGCGCAATTTGGAAGCTACTATCATTTTACTACTATAGTCTGTTTGCAGTGAAAACGTACCGATGAATTTCACTTTATACAAGAAAGTAAATCGAATAAAGTGAAATTAAGATTGAGAATCGATGAATAAAAGTCTGAGATTCAAATGTTCAATTGGCAAGGTAAAATTATGAGGATTCGCAATGTTAATTTCACTTTATTTGATTTACTTTTTGCTTAAAGTGAAATTCATCGGTACGTTTTCACTGCAACTAGACTATACCTTGTTAGAAAATGTCATTCCATTCCGAATGTAAGCAGTAGCTAAAGTAGCTGAACAATAACAGTGAACATTCACTCAAATTCATGCCATGATAACATTGCATCCAAAACATTTCTACTGACTGAGTTGGGTTTTACGCCGCTTTTAGCAATATTCCAGCAACATCACTGCGGAGGACACCAGAAATGGGCTTCACACATTGTACCCATGTGGGGATTCGAACCCGGGTCTTCGGCGTGGCAAGCCAACGCTTTAACCAAAACATTTATACCTTTACATCGCTGGATATTGTGAGTGAATAAGAATGTTAAATCTCGCTTCTTCTTTAAGATTTCAATTAATGTAAATGTATTACGAACCCGTGAACATTTCATTTTAATTTACCGCTTCTTTCATCCAAGATATCATGGCTATCAAAAGAAAATATGGGAACAGGTAAAAATGGCCACACGAAAAAATGGCCACTCTGACCCTATTCAAAATGGCCACACAAAAGAAACAAAATGGCCACAACCCCTAGCCAAAATGGCCATACCAAAAAGTCAAAATGGCCATACATTATTTATTTTTCATATTAATGAGTATTGTTCTTGAAATACTTTGTGATTGTTACTTATATTTTAAGATGGGTTTATTTATCCTGTACTTTGAGATGTTTTCTTATGTAATAATTTGATAAAACAGCATGCAATTGAGTGTGATGGCTGTAATGGGTGGACTCACAGCACTTATGATACCGGAGTGTTAAGACCTGACTATCTACAGCTTGTAAATAATGGAGCTGACTTTCCCTTCACATGCTGCAGATGTTCCGACTTTGGAAACTCATCAGTTCAGATCGAAGTTGGTAGATTCTCAGTCACACTAGGAAGCTCTTCTGCCGAACTTGACACTTCTGATATGCATGTGGAATGTGGTGGTGTGGAAGAAGTCATCGATTTCGCTGATCAGAGATCAATGGAACTATCCATCGAGGAAGACGAAGACGAGACTCTTGAAGTGGAAGAGCAGTTCACCCTTCTCGAGACCGGCTCACAGAAGGAAAACCTCAACTGATGGAGTCTAGTGGATACACAACTGTCCAAAAGGTAATTCCCCTGTTCTCAGATGTATGAAATAATGTCTATTATTATAGTGAATAATAGTAATTCATTGTAGTTCTTTATTACTGTGTAATGTGGTGTTGTTAATACAATATAAACATTACAACATATCATGAAATATTTATCTGGTTTATTTTCATTTTGACTTGGATGTTTTATGGCCATTGTGACGTGTGGCCATTCTGACTAGGACCCGTAAATATCGGCTAGTCATTTGCATTCTTCTTAGGATTTATCGAATGAAAGGAATTGTCTCGGGAAACACCTGAAAATACTAATTCTGCTTTTGACAGGTGACATGCCAAACACAATACACACTGCAGCTGGGGAATGTTTGGGTTTTTTAATATATACTACCCATCAAAAGTTTAGACTCACTAGTGTAAATGTAGCCACTTACTTGTCCACTGTTCTAAACTAGCTTTTGCAAAATATTCCATACTGTTTAAAGGTACTGTTTAGTTATGAACTGGTGTATTGTAAAACATATTCGTAACATTGAAAAGATTATTGTCATGAGTTCAGTAAATGATTAAAATCTGTGAAAATTGGCGAATTCTTAACAAAACTTTACACCAAAACGAATCTGTTCACATGCACGACATTTGCTCATGCCTTTCGCAATTTGAAGCATCATCCTTTGTGCAATTCATCTGCATAAGGTTTTCAGTTGGTTCCCCAAGTTGGTGGAGAAATTCATCTTCGATGTAACCACATACATATACATAACATATAGTGAGTGCTTTCAGTGAGTCTAAACTTTGATGGGTAGTATATTTAAACAGATCTCGAGGTCAGGGGTCAGGGCTCAGAAAACGAACAGTGATCACATTTCGTTTTTGTAAGGAGATCTACTTTTTCGCAGTTAGGGTGGTTTGGGGCTAGAAGAAACAAAACCTATCTTCATTCCATAAAGCTACACAGATGTATTCACAATCCAGTTCTAGTGTACGATGGTAACAGTACAGCGAAAACAACGATGATTCTACAACCAGTGAGTGCTTACAAAATATTTGGAATATATGCCCCTTAATATAGCGCATACCCTGTGAAAGTGAAACGAGCGGGTTTTAGACCATGCTGCAAGCTGATACTATCCATAAAAGCGCAGGACAAATTAAAATAATTTTGTAGAATATTTGAAGCACCTGTAAAATATCTCCACGCGCTTGAAAGCATTACAAGAAAGCGATTGCGTCGCGATATTAAACTGTAAGTGTAGCGTTTTGGCGAATCACACGAATAATTTGAAAACTAGACTAACATCTTGTCTCTGTCGCAGCAACTTTGATGTAGTCCAAGAAAATCCCCAAACTGCCAACTGAATGCTGTCAAAAACACTTAAAGAACCACTAAACTTTGTTTTTGTTACTCTTTTAACCATTACATATGAAAGATTTGTGGTTAGTCTTATGCGGAACACCAAATTTATTCTTTAAAACTTGTGGTTAATTAATACCGAGCAATTAAAAGTGGCCAAAAGTCGCCTGCTTCCCTCTCGCCCGCCAACAGAACCACAGACAGGTTACGTAACTCTGTCGCCAGAGCACTGCAGTGACGTCATATGAGGAACGATTTTCAGTTAGTTGTATAGAAAATGTGTAGCACGCTCATCATTTTGATGATTTCTCGACATCAACGACGACATGCCGAATCGTTGCTTTGTCGTCAATTGCTCCTAGGGGTCGAGCGATGGTGTCCCCATGCACAGATTTCCACAGGACCCCGCAGTTCGTGCTAAATGGGTTATGTTTGTGAGTGCGAAGCGAGCGTTGTGGAAGCCTGAAACGATATCTTACTCATGTTCAGATCGCTTCACGGAAGTTAAAGAATCAAAACTACTTACTGGTTGTAGTAAAATATGCATATGATTGATGACCATAAAGATTTTCTATGACACAACTTGTAACATAACGATTTCTTCCTCGGAAGTGAGGTTGTGGTCGAAGTAACAATAATATTGTAAGTAGTATTATATATTGACACCCACCTCGCTGCCACGAGAGAAATTGTTATGATATACGCATATGTCATGCAAAATCCTATTGGCCATCAATAAAATACATATTTTACTACCAGTAGAAAATAGTTTTGATTTTAACTCGGTGAAAACAAACCTAAATACCATTTATCCTCAGACTGGCGGATGTTCCCGACAGGGCGTCGCCATTTTTAAAAATAAAAAATCTGTTAGAATTAATGAGATTATAGTTTGTTTTCATCAAGTTAGAAAATCAAGACTACTTTCTACTCGTTGTTAAATATGTATTCGAATCATAACCAAACGGATTTTGCATGACACAACTTATAACATAACGATTTCTTCCACGGAAGCGAGGTGGGGTCGAAGTCACAATACTGCGCGATAAATTTCTTTGCTACATTCCATGGTTAATGTCCACTCACCAGTATGTAGATACTAGTCAATGTGCGTCTTTATATTTGGTCTTATAATCCTAATTAGTTTATTTTCACACTTGTATGCATTTTGAAACTAAAATAAAAGCAGACGATCTGCTGATACTTATAGTGAATTTATAACAGAACTGTAATATCTAGACATTTTATAGTTTGCCAATGTGAATCATAATTCGCACACACACCCTAGTGCATGTTGTCTGTCTCATTACACTTCACGGCGAAAACAATGATTCTGTTGAATGCTACGACAAATGAATAAAACAAAATGCAAATATTAAAATTAAAACAGATTAAAGTTATAGGAACAATATCAGGCCATTACCTTGTTCGAGGAATGTATCCATCAATATCCACAAAACTGTTCCAAATGATGTGTCTTTTAACAGTTTAATATACGAAAAAAGTGATAAATCTTTTCAGGTATTGGTGTATAGTCTCATTGGTCACCCAAGATAGCACACCTGGCAACTAATTGCATAATGTCCGCCTTTCTTTAAAAACAGTAATTTAGTTAGCCAATAATCGGCAATCAATCAATGTATTGCCGGTTAATCCTTTGAAAGAAGGACGTTGTTTTTACGCAGACACCGACACGACAGAGTGTATTCAGTATAGATTAGTAAAATCTACATACATAAACACTACCTTTGACAATTCCGCTGTGTAAGATAAAAGTAATTAATCAATCAGCGTGTTATCGGTTAATCCTTTGATCGATGTTAATAATGTTGAATATTTACTCCAGACACAAGAAATGCCAAATGGGAACCTTTGTCGGGTAATCTAAGTGTGTGTTACAACTAATTATACCTGTTATAAATTCATTAACTGACCATCAAGTGAATGATGACAAATAACATGTGTAGGTTTATACCACCTAACACGGGTTACAACGAGGGAGTATTAATTGTTGTATTGCATGTGAAAACTTATGGGCCGACACTGTTTTGAGAATACAAACAGATTTTACATGACATGATTAAAT